AAAAAAAAATCGTGACCGTGACGTGATCGTGACCAGAACCTGGTCACGGTCAGTTACGACAAATTTTTAATGTAGACATATGACGCGTATTTTTTAAATTTCGTCAGATAATTAAATATTTCATCATGTTTATTATTCTTTCAATAAGTATCAATGTCTTTTTTTGATTTTTCTAATTCAAAACAAACAAATATAATCAATACACACTCATAATACCAAAAAACATACATACATTATAAATATATTTTAATAAGACTACATAAAAGTATTTTAGAAAAAAAATGTACTACTAAAACATATTTTCTTTTTCTTCAATAAGTATATCATTATTTTCATCTACTTTTTGTTTTTTAATATTTTCATCAGATGATTTATTTAATGATTGATCATTTTTTCGTTTCTCTTGATTTTGTTTATTGTCACCCGTTTGGTTATCAAATATAGCTTTAAGAATATTAAGGTTTTTTCTTAAAAACATTAATTTATTAATCTTTTCTATTCCTAATCTTGTTCGTTTATCTGTTATAGTATATTTAGAAATGGAAAACAATCTCTCGACTGTCGTGTTTGATGCAGGAATAGCAAAAATGTCACGTACGATAGTTGAAATGATAGGAAAAGATTGAATATGATATGACCAAAATCCCAAGATATCATCATTTTCTTCATCATCTAATGCTAAAGTTGAAGACATCCATGAAGCAAATTCATCAACAGTAGATGTTGGTGATCGAGGATCATCAAAACATAAGGATAAAAGATTTTTTTTTCGTATTTCTGTTGTTTTCTTTTCTGATGATGATGCCAGAACAGACATCGTAATTGGTGTAGAAGATGAATCAAATGAAGATGATGATTGATTTGCTGTTGTACGTTTGTGAATTTCTTTTTGAAGTACTTGCATTGCTCTACTTTTATCAGATGGATTTTTATCAAAATGTTTGAGTTGTGGATGAAGGATGGTGGCTAGTAAATGTTCATCTTGAGGTATCCACATGGTCTTTATTTGATCATCTAAACGAAAATAAAAAGATTACTGTAGTGTACTTGAATGCGAAATGATCTGCTCGATCTAAAGTACATGAAAATATCAATGCGGATAACTACCTATGAATTTCTTTATCGAAATCAGACCACCTTCATCATCATCATGAACGACACAACAATTGATAAGATACTGACGAAGAGGTACAACAAGATGAATTGTTGGACGTTGTTCATCACTAAGTTTCTCAATAACTGTATCAAAATGTATAAGAAAATCACATAGTTGATGTTTAATAGTTGCTTGTTGATGAGAGAAAAAGAAAGAAGATGATTTGCATTAAGTGCTTGTGGTATTTCTTCAAAAATTTCATTGAAAACATAGAACATAATAAATGCACCATTAAATCTAGTTTTAGAAAAAATCTGTAGTTTTTTCGACAGCTTATTTTGTCGATGTGCATGTCGAACATATTCGATGATTTCTTTAATCAAGTTGAACAGCTTTTGTGTTTCTTTTAATTCTAATTGTTTTTCATCTGTAAACGTTTTCTCAAGTATCTTGTTGAGATAATGATCAGAACAACCTACGCGTTTTAAATCAGCAAATGCGCAACGCATTTTATTTTCATTGTCTGAAACAACATATGATGATGATGTATCAAATGATAAACCAAATTCATCAAGAATAGAATTAACGAATCTTCGAATATTCGGACTTGTTTGATTTTCCAGTTCATAAGCTCGACAACAAAGTATAAATGTATTAAGTTTAAATTGTGTATTAACATGATGAAACGATATACCAGCATAATGAACACCTGAAAAAGAAATGTTTAAGAAAAAAAATATGAAAAAATTCGAATAATCTGTGAAAGATGCTCGCTGTAATTCGCTTTGAACAGCTTCCAGATGCATAATCTCTCGGAAATAAAAAGCTGTTGTATGGTTTCCTTAATCAAAAATCCAAAACCAGTTTTGGTTTAAAAGAAAAAGGTTTAACAGTCCACTCGGTAAGAATAGCTAAAAAACTGGAAGTTTTTCTAGAAATCGTTATAACATGATATTTGCATTTACAATTTGCACGTGAAAAATACAAGATGCATGTACTAAGAGAAAGTTACCTGTAAAATACTCTTTCCAAAAATCCACCGTTATAACAAATGATTTAATGGTTTGAAATAAACTTATTAATTGACATTTACGTTCATCATAAATTCGATCTATATTTCGACTTAACTAAAAAAAATAAAAAACCGGTAGAGATAAGCACAAAGAGTTTTAATTTTACTGTTGTCGGATCAGCAATTACATCGGATGCACTAACAGTTGATGATTCAAGTAGAGTACGACCCACACCAAGTACACATTCGATAAGATTTATAAAACCTGAACCATTTACAATCTCAAATGGTCTACCATCAAGAATAATGAACTCTACTAATGAATTTGTAATTTTATTCTTTAATTTAAGTGGAACATAATTCGATTTATTTTTTGTTGAATGAAAATATTTTGTTATTGTACTTTCATTGTGTTCATCAAGTACATTAGAAATTTTACGACAACATTCTATATGCTTTTGCATACCACCAGTACCAGTTTGTGCTTTGTAAGAAATGAGTGATTGACACGAGTCACAAATAACATAATCTTGTTTCATTTTCTGAAAATGAATGGTACTGAAATATGCCCATACTTTGGACATATTGTCCTTCTGTTTCAGTTTTTGAAAAGTTACAGAAGAATCATTATTTGAAATTAATTTTAACAAGTTCTCTTTGGAGATACTTTTTTCTGTAACGGTTGGATTTTCCATTGATTTCTAAAGGCAAATATATTTTGTTGTATCTGATCGTAATTTTTTTTCCTTTTTCACGTAAACAAACAAGAGTCAATATCTTGTAACTTTCACCAATAGAAACAATTTATTCAATATCCTATTTGTATAATGCATATGTGCATGGGTCATCGAAAGATATCGCACAAATACAAACACTAAAATTTCCGTGACTCACGGTCACGGTCACGATCGTAACCATCGTGACCGTGACCGTGACCGTGAC